AATAGCAATTGTGCAATATGTCAGCTACAATTTCACTAATTATTAGTTATTTTTAAATAATTTTGATTCGAAGAGTGATATATGTTTTATAACATCTATATACACTACTATTAAAATTACTAAACGATAATTTCAAAATGTGTTTAGTGAAATTTGAGTGTTTGTGTTTTAGAACAATAACATGTTTTTTTACTTAATTGAGATATGTATTGAAATTAATATAATATAATATTAGAAATTTATAAACATATTTTCAGAGAGAAAATGAATTTTAGTGCCATTTGGAGATTTATTTATGCTGTAAATGAAATAAATTTAATTTTAATGAAAAAAGTGTAACCGTGAAGAATTAAGACAAGACCTGAAAAAACTTGTAATTTTGTTTATATAAATAGTAGACACCCTGTCTAAAGTTTTTTCACATTTTATAAGAAATCGTAGGTTGTTATAGTGTGGATATAATTTAGGATCTTTTAAGTGACATTTATTTGTTACATAATAAATCCACCAAGTTAGATGTTTTTAAGCAAATTTGAATTTACTTTTGTTTCCAGCATATTGCGCACCATATATTAAGGTATAATTACTTTTCATGAAATCTTCCACCATTTTGGATTCGCCATTTTGGATTTTTTATGCATTTAAGTTTATACTAAGAGCCTTTAAATAGCCTTTAATTCCTATGTATTAGGAGTCAAGAAATAAGTCTATTTACATTAAAAAAAATGTTCTGCTAAATTTTTTTAGGGTTAGCAGAACATTCGTTTTCTCGAAATCTATGGGAGCATTTAAATTCGGTATAGGGCACTTAAATAGCCTTTAATTAGCCTTTAATTACTATGGTATTCCGAAGTTTGTCTGCTGACTTTGACCTGCTAACTTAATGGACGTGAGAAGGATGCATAGAAATGAAATGCCCTTATCGCCTGAAAGATCCCAATATAGGCTTAGAAACATTTTCTTCCATGAAGGGAAGTTACTTATTTAAGGATGAAAACGGAATTCTAAAACTCGATAAAAATCATACTTATTATTACCAGATTCAGCTACAAATGTATGCAACAAAAACATCTCGCTGTGATTTTGTGATCTGGTCACAAAATAGTTTTTTGTCCTAAGGATTTCTCTTGATAATAATTTTCTTCAATTAAATATGACAAAAGCTTCTATTTTTCATAGAGACATAATCGTTCCAGAGATATTGTCTAGATATTACACACAGTCACGCGAAAATGTTGAAATAGAGTTATGGTGCACTTGCCAAGAACCTGATGGTGGCCGACAAATGATCCGCTGTTCCAATGAAGGCTGCTCAATAAAATTGTTTCATTTGGAATGTCTTCAAATAGAAATAATTCCTAATGCCTACTGGTTTTGTAGTACCTGCAGTCAAATCTTTTACTCCTAATCTACATTTACAACCAGTTTAAAATGCATAATATCTTACTTAAGATTCGTAATCACCAACCCCAAAAACTATTATTACCGACATAAAAACTCATACATATATATAAATATAATTGACACTCTATATTGAAATATATAAAGCAAATCTAAAATACAAACATCATTATAAAGCAAAATTGAAGAAATAAAAGGACTCAAGACAGAAATCGAACTCTGAACCTAATGCGCATTAGTCCCAAGTTTAAGGGAATTCGAACCATTATATGACATTAGTTTGTGCAAGGCACGTTTTCTAAAACTGTGACGTGGTACATAAAATAACAAAATGATTTTTATCTAAGGTACGTTTCTTCGGAACGTGTCAAAAAATTATAATCTTTATGAGAAAGTAAAGTGTTCAGAAAATGAACACAAAATCTTAAACTTTATTTATTCCTTATGAAAAAAGTACATGTCCATAGTGTAGGTAAATATCAAATGTACAAAAGTATTTTATAAAAAAGCTTTATTATAAAATAATATGGTAATAATCTTAACAGGCTTAACTTATATTGCGTTTTCATATTATTACACAATCTGAAGACCATATAACATTTAAATTCGCAGTACGTTGATATAATTACATTTTTACTAATGTTAATGTCGATAAAAATTATTTACAAGTTACCCTATATAATTTACAGTTACTTTATTACAGTTTTGCGTATTTGAGAATATTAAATAACTATAATTGGGACATTTTTATTTACATTTAAAAAATGCAGAGTATTTGTGTAATCCAATATAAGTCCAAACAGCACGGAAAATTTCCTGAAAATTAAAATAAACTTGACTGCAACCTTCAGAATCTTTAAATGTCCGCTGTTTTTCAATGTTTAGTCAACTTTCGCCTGAAGCACTGAAAAGCAGTGGAGATTTAAAGAACTATTTCAACTTTCATGAGCTCCGCAACTAAAGATTCCTAAGGTTGCAGTCAAGTTAATTTCAACTTTTAGAAAACTTTCGGTGCTATGAGGGTGTATTAAAAGTAAAGCAAATTCTGTTGACACTGGGGTTTGTTTCAAAACTTTATGTACGTGTTAATTTACATAAATAAAATCGGATGATTTTTAAGCGAATTATGCCTATACTTAGATTTAAAATATAATAAAGAAGCATTTCATGAACTTTACATTGGTGATATTTTTTAACTTTTACTTTAGTCTTTTTATTGGCACTGAAAAAAAAGAAAAATTGTATATTTTGAATTTTAGAACATTAAATACTCAATTTCTGCATTTTATCAGAGTGAGTTTTGTGTTTGGTCACAAAAAATTATAGTATTTATTGTTTGAATAATAAAAAGTATTAAATTCTTATAAATTAATCCTTTACATTTCCATACTACACAATTTGTATTTTTAAAATAGGGAACTTTAAAGTTTAATAAGAATCAGATGCTTTCAGTTATAGTTTTCAAATATAAAATATGTGAAATTAAGGCCATATCTAAGGCTAACCACAGGGTTGACACAAAACTTTAATTTTGTTTTTCCATGATTTCCAGGCAAAATTTTCATTTTTCCCTGAATATGAAGAACATCAATAACTTCTTTGTTAAATAAATGTGGACGTCCACATGAAAAGGGCCCATATTGTCGGTTCTAGTTTTCGAGATAATCGCAATTTAGTAATTTTGAAGCAAAATCTTAATTTTTTTTTATTTTTTATTATCAATCTACATGTTTTGACAAGTCGAATCATGCGGTTTTCATTAATTTATCGATAATTTAACTGTTTGATTTCATTGGTTCTTTAGAAAAATGAAAAGGGCCCATTTTGTCGGTCATTTGCAAAAGTAATCCGTATTTTAAAAATGGTGGTGTGGAAAAATTTAAAACCTCTTGATTTTTCATATTTAGGGTGTTCTAGACTGTAAACAATTCTCATCTGAATAACTTCCCAGAAGAACCAGAGATATTGATGTTAGTCTTTTTTTCGTAATTTTCGAAATGAAAATTTGGATATTGCGTCAATTTTTTTATAATAGAGGCTGTCAAAAAAATTTTAATAAGTTTAATATCTATTCTTTTTCTTCAAATGACGCAATAAAATTGTACCTATAATCATTAATCTTGTAAGAAAATGGTTTTTTAATAGAAAAACTTTCCTTTTTAGAAAAGGGCCCATATTGTCGATTTTTCGTATTTTTAAAATTAAGGGGAGGGGGTGGTTCTAAAAATTTTAAACCTGTTGGTTTTTTATCTTCAAGGTACCCTGAACTAGAAACAATTCTTATCTGAATAACTTCCAAGAAGAACCAGAGATACAACAATTAGTTGATATCGCAATCTTTAATTACGTTTTTCTCGAATTGAGGTTTTTGGAGTTCTAAACTTTGAAATTCCGTAACTCAGCGAATTTTTAACCAAAAAAGTTCTAAGACCACTCAAAATTCTCCAAATTTTGCCAGGAATACGCCCATATAGATAACTCCAATAGTGCCAAAATAGGCCCTTTTCATGTGGACGTCCACAAATATTTAATCACTATAATTTTTATATAGGAATTAAGATTCTCAAATTCAATAACTTATGAGAATATTATTATAAAGCATGAAGAAATTTCCTCATGTTTTATAATAAATTTAAGATGACAGAGTGATAAAATCATTATTTTATATTTTGTGAGAAAAAATAGAAATATTTATTCTAAGACTTATTGATTATATTTCATTAAAAAAAGATAGACTTCTATAAAATCGTCTTATTTTGTCAGGGAATTTTATCAAAAGTACTATAAAAATATTCAATTTCTAAAATTTATAAGAAAATTATGAATTTTGTTGTACAACGTAACAGACTTAAAAAAAGAAAATATTAAATTTAATTTTAAATTCTTTCTATTTCTAACAATAATTAAATAAAATATAATTTTAATTAAATTCGTCAAAAAAATTTGAAAGAGAAAAAATTTCACATTCTATAAAATAGTGAAAAATAAATCAATTTAAAAAATTTGTTTGCAGTAATATTATGACAAAACAAATTTAAATTAGTAAAAAATTGAACTAATTAGAACAAAAGTAATACGAAATTTATAAAAATTAATTTTTAAATACCTATCTAATAAATAAAGTAAATAAAAAATAAAAAAAATAAAATTTTTTTTCTTAGCAAATAAATTTTTAAAAAATCGTACTTTGCATTAATATCAATTCGTTTCTTTTACAATTATTCATAAGCAACTTTTTCTATATTTTAGAATGTTAAATTAATAAATTTTTAATATTGATATAGATTGAATTTTAAAAAGTTTCAAATTAAAGTTTTAAAAAAGTTGAATTGTAAAAGATTTTAATCAAAAATTCTGAATAAGTTAGTTTTTATAAACATTTTTATTCACATGTTTTTTCAAATCAGTTATATTTTTTAATATACAATATTTAATTGAAAAACTTTCAAATTATTCAAAATTTCATGAAATTGTCTTGTAAACAAGTGGATTTTAGAAATATTTTAGTTAAAATTTCTACAAAATAATTGAATTGAAATTTTGAAAATAATTTTTAATAAGTTACAGTTGCAATTCTTAAAAATTATTCTATTTTAAAGGATTTGAAATTTGGATCTTTTTTATTCCTATGAAAAAACAATGGATAATAATTAAATATTTATTTCAAAAAAAATCTATTTAAGTTCCAAATGATTTTGCAGTTAAAGATATTCAAACAAATGTATTATAAACATATTTTGGAGTTTCAATTATTTTTAGAGTAAACTAAAAAATTTTTAGAGCTTGGGAAAAAGTCAAAGTTTGTCTAAAAATCAGGGAATTCTTTCAATCTGTCATGGAATAATTTATTTTCAAAGTTATTCTTTATGTCCAGGAAAAATAATTCATGACCGGGAAATGACCGTGAATTTTTTTTATGAAAAAAGTGGCCACCCTGACATTGTTGAATTAAACATTTTCGAAGCAATACGAATTTTTGTTTACGGAACATTAAACAAGTAATTGAACAGTTTGAAATAAACAATAATAATTTAGAGAAAATGAAAGTTTTAAAAATAAAGGATTACCTGAAACTTAAAGTTAAGGGAACAAAGTTCGAACAAAGAGCTGTTTGGGTTTAAGAAGAGTTTCTTACATATTAGGATAAATGGTATAGTATGGATTTTTAAACTGTTTTGTACTCATGGCATAAAGATTCGGATCTTCGACTGGAAACGGTTGAATGATATTGCTAGTCAGTGATTTTTGATTGTGGACATTAGCAATCATAAATTGAGGTACAGGAATAGGTTGAGTTACCGTTGTGGTTTCTATCAATTTCTTTTGAGAGTAAACTTGTGACGATGAAATTAATTGATTCGATGGGGAGGAAAGATTATTTTGTAAATTATTTTCCGTCGACTCAGTACTGACTGGATAGGTCGGGACAATGTTAGATTGTTGTTGTGATTTACATTTTTTCGTATGGGCATACAACGAGCCGGCGTTATTATATCGTTTAGCGCATATTTTACATGCATAAGGTCTTTGACCAGTGTGCGTGTAAGTATGTTCATTAAGGGAAGTCAATCGTCTGAAGGATTTCATGCAAATTTGACAATGATATTTAGCTTCGCCCGTGTGCATTGTTATGTGTCTCGCTAAAGTGTTGGCGCGCGCAAATGCCCTACTGCAATACTGACAAATGTAGGGCTTTTCTCCACTGTGAGTTCGTAAGTGTAGCTGTAAATACGTACTTTTTGTAAACGCTTTCGTACAAACATTGCAAACGTATGGTTTAACGCCTGTATGTGTACGCATGTGAGCTACCAGTGAACCACTTTGTGCAAAACATTTGCTACACACCTCGCACAAAAATCGCTTTTGCGTGTCTTTAACACGCTTGTGACGCTCCATATGGTTCGCCAAAGATTGTGGCTGAGCAAAAGCTTTTGGACAAAGATTACATTGATGCGGTCTGTTGTATTTTTCCTGTAAGAAAAAATTACTTAATAAACACAAATAAAACTGTACCAATCAAATATTTCATTGCTAAAATTATTTCTAAAAGGAAATTTTTATTAAATTATTAAAGGGTAAGGCTTTCTGAAGTGTACCAATGGTTTTCAAAGGGTATTTTAATTTTATTTAAACTCTGCTATATTTTAGAAGTAAATAATGATAAAAATAACACCTGCAAATAGTTTTTTAAAAAGTTATTAACAATTTAATTTTTAACACCTTTTTCGAAAAAAATGAATTACTTGGAAACTAATCGACAGAATTCGATAAAAATTAGACCACTTATTTGAAAAATCTTACTTTTAAAAATTCTAATTCTTCTTTTAAATTATCATGCAATTTGTTTAAATATTAAAAAATTGTTATAAACAAATGAAAATTTAAGCCTGTTCTTAATGATATAATTAAATTTCCATTATATCATTTTATTCTACGTAGAATTTGAAAGTATTACCAAAAAAAAATTTAGGGCCCGCATTTTATTTAAAAAATACTGCGCGTGCAGTTTCGCGGACGGTCGCACTGCCGCGTTAGATGGGTTGAATTGATTGTAAATCCAAATTCGATGTCAAAATTAAAACATTAAAAATCGATGTCGTCAATATAATGATCAAAATTTAAAAAATGAATTAAAATCTGTTGAGACTTAAAAAAAGCAAAATGGTTTGTAAAATATATAACTAATAAGAAGTTTAGCGTACGGTTCAGTAATTGAAAAAATAGAAAAAACAACTTTTACAATTTCCCGTTAAATTCGAATTTCATAACTTTAAAAACTCCTAAGTAAATATTTTTTTACAAATCCGACAACTTTTAAAAATTTCGGTCGCCATATTGGATCTGCCATTTTGAATTTTGTAAATCTAACATCAGATTCTTAATCAGCGACCCCAAAAATCGTCGAGAAATGAATTTTTGTTGAAATTCATCAATTTAAAAATTATCCGTCATTTAGAATTTAATTTTAATTAAAATTTTCGAAATTAAGTATCATATGCTTTATAAATGACTACTAACTAATAAGCTGAAACCAATTCAACGCATCTAACGCGGCAATGCGACCGCCCGCGAAACTTCACGCGCCATGTCTTAAATTTTCATTTGTTTCTAACAATTTTTTATTATTTAAACAAATTTCATGACAATTTAAAAGTAGAATATTGGATTTTAAAAAGTAAGACTTTTCAAATAAGTGGTCTAATTTTTATCGAATTCTGTCGATTAGTTTTCAAGTAATTCATTTTTTTCGATAATGGTTTTAAAAAATTAAATTGTTATTAACTTTTTAAAAACCAATTTTTAAATTAAAACTATTTGCAGGTGTTGTTTTTATCATTATTTACTACTAAAATAAAGAGTTTAAATAAAATTAAAATACCCTTCGAAAACTATTGGTACACTTCAGAAAGCCTTACCCTAAATTATTCATGTAGTATAATTCTATGGGTCATTCCAGGTGAATTTTTCATTAAATATTTTTTTTTGTAACAATTTTCTTCGAATTCTATACACAAAAAAAGAAAACACTTATTCTTTATTTTGCTGTTGAATGACAATAGTGAAAGTTATTTTTTCTTAAATTCAACTTCTTCAGAAACAGGACTTTTGAAACACGTTTTCCTTTAATGCTTCTGGGTCAAAATAAGTGAAAACAGGCACTTGAAAAAATGTTGTCTCCAATTTTAAAGTCATATATGTTTTTTGATAGATATATGAATATACTTTTACCGCCTAAAATATTTTTCAAAAATTTTTTATATTTTGAAAATAAGGGAGGGTTAAACTTTTGGGTATGGGTGAGACTCTGTCATAAATATTACGATTTGCAAGGGGTCTCGGATCAATTTGCCATTTGGCGAAATTATAATACTAAATCTGTGGAAGAAAGGCATAACAGCATAACTGCATTTGTCATGATTTTGAGATAAATTAATTTTAATGTTCTCTCACTTCTGTCAATTCAGAAAATCAACAGATTTGTTCGGTCTTTTGCATTTAGTATTATTATTTAATATATTTTCAAAATTCTTTTATAACATTTAATAAAACACACGATTTGATATAAATTTTGATAATTTTTCATCGGAATCATGAGTTTTATTGCACTTATGCGGTTATGCAAGTTCAGATTGTATATGAGTCCAACTTCAGACACTTTTAATGTCACAATTTATTTTGGTTTGATTTGTCATAATAAAAAAATTTTTCATACAAAGACAAATTAAACTATTAATTCGTTAGAAAAAATTATAAGAGTTTATTTAGTTATAAAATTTATTTTTTTATAAAATGTTTTTAATTTATTGAAACGAGAAAAAAATTTACTTTACTGTTCAACTTAAAGAATTTTTCAATTTATTTTTTTAAATACTTTCCAAAATTTTTTAGAATAGAAATACCCTTAAAAATAAGTACATAATTAAATGCACAATTTATGCTATAAAAAATTTGTTCCAGTCTTATTAAAATAAATATATTTAATCTAAAGTACGAAAAATGTATTTTACTAAAAACATTTTATTGCAAAATTCTTATTGTTTTTATTCATAAAGGTTATTTTCATTTTTAATTATGTCAATTGTTTTTTAAGCTGAATGCAGTTATGTTATTATGCTGGTCTCCTTTTGTCAAAAACGCAATTATGCGATTATGTTTTCCATTATTTTCTACATTAATACACTGAGAGAAATGGATAGTCAGATTTTGATGTTAAAAAGATGATGTTACACGATACTATCATTATGCTACTGCCAACCATCACAGATGCTAAAAAAAATATAGTTATGCTACCCCTTACTACCAAGATGTTACTCCTGATGATATTGATGGTAACGGTGACTATCTAGATAGCTGTCTGTATACGTAGCATTAAAGATGGTCACCCTAACCACAATTATGTTACCCACTACTATAAATTTCTCTCCGTGTAACCATTTTAATGATTTTTCAGCTATTGAACTTTGAAGAGCAATATTAAATATATACAAATCTGATGTTATCTCAAATTTGATAAAAATGTCAGTTATGCTGTTATGCCTTTCTTCCACAGAAATAAGAGTAATTAATGTGCCAAAAGATTTTTGAAAATTTTCAAAAATGTAAAATTTACGCTATCAAATGTTTACCACTTCGTGGAGAATCACCTGTACATACCATTTAACGTAGAATTTTCTGACATTTGCATTTGGAATATTCCATTTCAAACCGTTTCACTGACAAAAAAGACAATCGCAAGAAGAGTGATTTTCTAATAAATGTTATTATATAAAAATTTAATTATTTATAATATATTATACACTGATTCAAAAGAGAATTTCATAAACTTTCTATTGCTATTTTTATTTTTCAAATTTGTCTCAATTTCGTAGAGAAATTCTTGTAAATGTTAAACTCTTGATATCTCACAACACCCCCCGACGATTTTTATAAAAATTATATAAAAATAAAACTGAACTTTTCTAGTTTCCATTCCCGTTTAATATGTTATGGGCATTAATATTGGGATTGATAGAAAAAAATTGTTTAAATTGTCAAATTTTTGAAAAACTTGGCAAATGATACAAAGTTGAATCCTAACCCATTCAACTTCCTACCATTCGTCAAATTTTTCAAAAATTTGAAAATTTAAACAATTTTTTTTCTATCAATTCTATTAAATATCCATAATCAGGGTTCCCACACAACCTGGGAACCTGGAAAACCTGAAAATGTCAGGGAATTTTATAAACCTCGAAAAAACCTGGAAAAGTCAGGGAATTTTGATTAGAATCATTGTTATATTAACCTTTTTAAAATAAATATTTAGTCATTATAATTTTTCCATAAGAATTAAAATTTTAAAATTCAAACCTTCTTGAAAATAAACAACTTATAAAAAATGAAGAAATCGATTACTCCGAGTCTTCCACTTCATGTATCTTCATGTTTTATAATACCTACAATTAAAAATGACCGACTGATAAAATCTTTATTTTATATTATAAGAATATTGTTACTGTAACTCATTCAAAATTACTTTCATCACTTTAATTCAATTATTGTTTTCCAGAATTTTTAACTAAAATTCTTCTTTAAATTAATTATTTTTAATAATTTTTGAAAATTTCCAAATCCTTTTATTTACAATTGAATTTTACGAAATTTCATAGATTATTCGGAAATTCTTCAATCAAATATTTATATTAAAAAAAAAAACTTTAACTTGAAAAAAATTCAATTCAACTTTTTAAAAAAAATTAAATCTACACAAGTTTCAGTTAAAAGTATGAAAAATTCAAACATTCAAAGATTATAATTTGAAACCTTTTCAAAATTCAATTATTTCTAAAAATTCATGCTATAATACTTTCTCTCTAAATTTGAATTAGTAAAAATGTTTACTAATTTCAATTACTGACTGGCTTTTTACTTTTGAATAAGCAGATTTTTCCAATAAATAATCGTTTCTACTAATATAATAGTAAAATTTACTAATTCAAAAGCAAAAAGTCAAATTAGAAAATATTTTTACTAATTTAAATTTAGAGAGTTTAATATTCAATCCTTATTAATAAAATCAGATGTCTGTCTGTACATTGCTTAAAACTTCAAAATGTTAACATGATTAGTTATTATGGACATCAGAGATTCCAAAAATGTTCTTAAAAAATTTAATGTATGTATGTATGTATGTATGTATGTATGTATGTATGTTTGTCTGTCACAAAAACTTTGTACCCCAATCACACAAAAACATGTGAATCGATTTAAGTCCAACTTGGTAGGTTATTAGGTATTGACCCAAGGAAGGTTTATAAATTTACAGATTTAAAAAATATTAATTAGAACGGGAGATATTCAATTTTTTCAAAAAATTCAAAAAATCGAAAATTTCAAAATTTTTTATTTTTCATGGATTGCTTTTGAAGTTTATATACTTGAGTATTATATGTTATTTAGTCACATTATAGCATAACTTTGCAAAAAATAAAGTCCTATAACTAATATGTAAGTATAAAAATGTTTTCAAAAAATCGAAAATTTCAAAATTTTACATTTTTTTATGGATTGCTTTTAAACTTTCTATATTTGAGTATTACATGTTATTTGGTCACATTTTAGCATAATTTTTCAAAAAATACTATTCTACAACTAAGATGTAAATATAAAAATATTTTCAAAAACTTGAAAAATGGAAAATTTCCAAATTTCACAATTTTTAATGGATAGCTTTTAAACTTTCTAAAAATGAATATTATATGTTATTTAGTCAGATTTTATCATAATTTTGCGAAAAATACTATCCTACAAGAAATATAAAAAAATTTTCAATATATCAAAAAATCGATACTAATTACTATATGAAGTATAATTCAGTAGTATTTTTGGAGTCTCTGATTAATATTTTGATGTCAAAATAGTGCAATTCAAAATTATTTATCAAATCAATCTAATATTTTCAAGAAGTTCAGAAATATTGAAAATGGAAATTTTTTATGATTAAAATGATTTCGCAGGATGTCAAGAATTGTAAGTCACCTGTGATACAATACAAGCATATTATGCCACTAGGCAAAAACTTACATGTTAAAACGTTTTTTTCATTTTAACTCTAGATTTAACTTTAAGAGATGTTTTGAGCAATGTAAAGACAAAAGTTAACACGGTGTCTATTTTTGTTTAACAAAATTCCCTGCTTTGTCCAAACTTTTCACGGTTTATCTCTTTTTTGTCAAATTTAAATTTACTTGATTTTATCCATAAATAAATCTACAAATGGCTATAAAAATTTACTTATTTTATGAAAATACTGTTTCTTAAGTTCATATAAATATAGATTGTATTACTTGCTGTCGTACAGTTTTCTGTTTATACTAATACATTTAACTGGGTATCTACCAAACGGGAAAAACTGTAAAAAGCTGGGAATATGCCGAACCGGGAATTTTCCTATCAAATTAAGAAAAAGTTTCATTATATTAATTCGCTTTTAAAAAATTGCTTTTTACTTCAATTTTTATTGATGTATAATATTTATGAAAACAGACCCGAGTCAAAATTTAAGCCCTACTTTCAGCCTAAAATTTAGGTCTTATGTTAGGTTTTAGCAGTCGTAACGTAGGGTCTACTTGCGATACAATTAGTTCCAATTAGACTCTACTATAACTCCAAAAACTGTATGGAAAATTTAATTTTTTTAATACATTAATTAAAGTACTACAAATTGATAAATATTGTTCTCTGCATTTGAATTGGTTAAAATAACTAATTTGATAACAAAAAGTCAATCACTGATTCAAATAGTAATATTTTCCTACTAAAATAGCTATAATGGTAACTAATTATTATTTTTTTCCGGTCAAATTAAATTCCCTAGCTATTTCCTGATTTTCCAGATTGGTAGAAACTTAAATGTATTGGTAGAAACTAAAACCCGTCGAAGACGGGTACGACAGCTAGTTATTAATATTTTTTAAAATTGAACTCTCATAAAAAATTTTATCAACAAATTTTTAAATAGGCAATTAAAATTCTTTAGCGAATTTCAATAAAATTTTTAAGAATAATTTCATTTTTCGAGAAATTAGATTAAAATTGTATTAAAAATAATTGAATCTCTATAACAAAAATTTGATTGAATTGAGAAAAGTTTTTGATAATAATTGAAATTTTGCGAAGAATTTCATTAAATTTTTTTGGAGAAAAATTTTGTTATTTATAAAGATAATTGAAATTTGGCGATAATTTTTTTTTTAAACTTTTGACCATAATTGAATTTCTGCGAAAAATTTTATTAATTTTGAAAATAATTGAATTCTTGAGACGAATTTTTTAATAATATTTCTTTTTAAATAAGTACCTAATTGAATTCTTTTGTGAAAATTGATTTCGATAAATTATTGAAATTAATTAAATTCCTACGTAGAATTTTATTAAAATTATTTTGAAAAAAATTGAATTGTTAAAAAGAATTTCATTAAAATTTTTGAAAATAATTTAATTCTTTCGAGAAATTTAATTAAAAATGTATTGACAATAATAAATTCTAATAAATAAATTATAGGAAGGCTTTGTAAAATAATTGAATTTCTTTGATGAATTTTAATAAAATTTTTCAGAATAATTGAGGCCTTGGATCCAATAACTCGCCCGACGCTCGGAGGAACGCGCAACTGCCAGTCAGTGAGCAGTGAGCGCCTCTGGGCCACTCACTGCTACCCGACTGGTATTAGCGCGTGGCTTCGAGCGTCGGGCGAGTTATTGGATCCAAGGCCTCAATTACATTTTTTGAGAAATTTCATTAAAATTTATGAATATAATTGAAAACCAATAAAGTTTTTCATTATTTATGAAACTAATTGAATCTCTGTAAAAAATTGGATTATTTTTGAAAATAATTGAATTATTGCGAAGAAATTTATAAAGAATCTGTAAATAATAGAATTCCTGTGAAATTTTTATTATTTAATTAATTCATTCAAAATTGTTATTTTACAAAATTTCAAATTAAAACCATTTGAAGTTTATCTATTTATGTAAATTGTAAACGCAACTCTTTTAAAATTGAATTAATTTTGAAATATTTAAGAAAAAATTAGATTTCAAGAATAAGCACAATAACTTTAGAAAACAATAATTTTCCAGGGTTCCGATCAAAATTTCCTGACTTTTCTAGGTTTTTTCAAGGTTTATCAAATTCCTTGACATTTCAAGGTTTTCAGGTTGCGTGGCAACCCTGATTATGGACATTTAGTGGGATTGATAGAAAAAAAATGGTTTAAATTGTCAAATTTTTGGAAAGACAAATGGTACGAAGTTGAATGGGTTAGGATTCAACTTTGTACCATTTGTCAAGTTTTTCAAAAATTTGCCAATTTAAACAATTTTTTTTCTATCAATCCCATTATTAATGGGATGAAGAAAGTGTACATAAAAATTAGAGTGTTACCTTCTTTCTATTTTCTGGAAGATCTGATGATTTATTATCGTTATCTGTACCATCATCGAAACCATCTTCTGACAGATCACCAAACATTTCATCCTTATGCTTCGATTGTTCATGTTCTTTCAGCTTATCGACTCTGGAGAATTCCTTGCCACACATGGGACAATTGTACTTCAAGCCAGTATGAGTCAGAAGATGTCGTTTGAGATTTCTCTTTGTTGCAAATAGTTTACCACATTTTGTACACTGTAAACCTTCAGTTAGCATTTCCTCGTCATCTGATTCCACCTCTTTAGATTTCGTTGAGCCCTCCGTATCTTTTGCTGGTAACGATTCATTAATTAATTCATCTGTATTATATTCGGGATGTATTTTAGCGTGAGATACAAATGATTTATGATACGTGAATTGTTTTGAACAAACTTTGCAGGAAAATTTAAAGGCTTTCTTTTCTGATGAATGTCCTTCTTTATCGATTCTTTTCACATTTTCCGTTTCGTTAATTTCATTTTGTTCTATTTTCTCATCGTCTTTATTCTTCTCGTGAACGTCTTGATAATGACTTTTTAATTTCCCCACGTGTGAAAATTGCTTTTCACACAAATAACAAACATAGCGTAATTTTGTTTTCGATTTGTGAACAATAACATGTTTCTCCAATGCAGTACGACTGGAGAATAATTTTATACATTTGGGACATTTTAGTTTTTGTGTTCGGCATATTAATGGAATTTCTTCATTATCATCGTCATCATCATCATCATCATCATCATGATGATCATTAAAATCATTAATATCATTACAATTTTCTGTGACATTATTAACGGCTTCAAATGTTGATGGAATTTTTTCGATTTTATCATTTGTAAATTCCAGTCGATTTTGTGCTTCCTCTATTTTTACATATTCTTCTTCGAAATCAATGTCTAAATGTCCTTCGGCGTTCTGATGAATATTTCCATCAACTCTCGATGAATTCTCTTCCTGTAATGTCTCGGAAACATTTAACTTTTCACTTTCTTGATAAATGAAATTTTCTTCAATTATTTCAGCGACAGGTTCGTGTTTCTCTGCGCAATTTCCAGCGATATTAAATGCTATTATGTTTGTCGAATTATTTAAAGGCGATGAAACTAGTTGCTCATTAGAATGCACTGAGAAATGTTCAATTTTTGAACTTATATCATTAAGTGGTAGACTGCGATTTTCTACGTTGCACGAAATAACTTTTTGTGAAAATTCATCTGCTATTGCATCTGATATTACTTTGTTAATTGAATGTGTTAAAGACAATGAATCTTTTGTTAAAAAGGTGTTTCGTAATTTCATATCAGAATTTTCAACTTGGCATTTAAAATCGTAGGCAATATCGACAAGTTGTCGACAATCTGGACAGACGACAGAAGGTAAACCGTCACCTTCTTCCACCTACGACAAAAAATTTATATTTTTATTTACTATTAATTTACGCAACATATGATCATATGTAACTTCAGGGTAGACACTTTTTTCATAAAAAAAATTCACGGTCATAAATAATAACTCTGAAAATAAATTATTCCATGAAAGATTGAAAGAATTCCCTGATTTTTAGACAAAACTTTGACTTTTTCACAAACTCTAAAAATATTTTAGTTTACTGTAAAAATAATTGAAACTCCAAAATATGTTTATAATACATTTTTTTGAATATCTCTAACTGCAAAATCATTTGGAACTTAAATAGATTTTTTGAAATAAATATTTAATTATTATCCATTGTTTTTCCATAGGAATAAAAAAATCCAAATTTCAAATCCTTTAAAATAGAATAATTTTTAACTACTATAACTTATTAAAAATGATTTTCAAAATTTCAATTCTATTATTTTCTAGAAATTTTTACTAAAATATTTCTAAAATTCACTTGTTTACAAGACAATTTCATGAAATTTTGAATAATTTGAAAGTTTTTCAATTAAATATTGTATATTTAAAAATATAACTAATTTGAAAAAAATGTGAATAAAAATGTTTCAAAAAACTAACTTATTCAGAATTTTTAATTAAAATCTTTTACAGATCAACTTTTCTAAAACTTCAATTTGAAACTTTTTAAAATTCAATCTAGACAGGCCTTGGGATCGACTTTAAGGTGCAAAAAAAAGTCGCTTTAGTCAATTTAAAATAGAAAAAAAGTCGAAAAAGTCGTTTATTTAATACAGTGTCGTCACAAGAATTTTATTTTGTATTTTTCTGATCTTTCACTAATTTCTAAATTTAATTATTCAAAACTTGAATAATTTCGTTAAATAAATATTTAAATACTTCTTGTTTGTTTTTATACGGGAATAAAATTTTTAAAAATTTCCATTTAAAACCTTACTTTTGAAATTTAATAACTTCTAAAAATTACAACAGTAATTCTCTTAAAATTCAATTATTTTCTACAATTTTTAATCAAACTTCTTCTCAAAATCAATTATTTTTAATAATATTCCGAAATTTCTTAGAGAATTCAATTATTTAAATACAAAAATTCAGTTTTTAAAATGATTGTAACTATCCATGTTTTTTAAGTTAATAATTTATTTTCAAAAAATTATAATAAAGAAATTCTTAAAATTAATTTTTCAAAAATATTTTTAAAAATAATTTATGAAAGATAATAGTTTTTCAATATTATATACAATTGAAAAATTTCCAAACAATTGAAATTTGGTAAATTCTATTAAAAAAATAATTGAATTTTTAAAGAATTTTAATTATTAATATAAACGTGATTTCTCTAAAATTTTAATAAATCTAAAAAAGTACATTTTAAAAAATTTTAATTTACTTTGCTCGAAATTAATTAAATCTTATGAAATTAAGGTAAAAAAGTCACAAGAAAAAGTTTTTTTTTAAATATAGTAATGTAATTTTTTGAAAATAATTGAATTTCTTAAAAGAATTTTTTTATATAATTTAAAAAAAATAATTTTTTGAAGAATTTTGATTAAAAATTTTGAACATGATTGTTATATGTTGTTAAAATGTTAAAAATAATTGTAAAAAATTTTAATGTTATTTTTTTTGTATGTTACTTGAATTTTTAGAAATTTGTATTTGAAAATATTGAAAACAATTGAATTTAAAAAAATTAGAATGCAAAAATTCTAAGAATTATTTTTTTCAAAAATATTTTTTAATATAATTTTTAGAAGCTAATTTTCATTAATTACCATTTTTAAATTTACACTTGGAAGATTTTTCATTAAAATCTTTGAGAAATCAATTATTTTCAAAATTTGCAATTAAAACTCTTTAAAAGTTGATTCTCAAAAAATTTTGATAAAACACTTTGAAAAAAATCAATTATTTTCAATTAAATTTTACAAAATTTCAATTGTTAAAACTCTTTTTTATTGTAAATTTTGAAAATTTATTTAGTATTTATAAAAATAGTTGAATTGTTTCGAAGAAATTATTAAAATTTTAGGAAATTAAATTTTATAGAAATATTTGAAAATATTTGAATACTGCCAAGAAATTTAATTAAAGATGTTTTGAAAATAATTGAATTCCTGCAAAGAATTGTACTACTTATAAAAATAATTGAATTTACTTTTTTTTTACTTTATTTATTATTTAAAAATTAATTTTAATAAATTTCGTAGGTATTTTGTTCTAATTAGTCCAAATTTTTAATATCTCAAATTGGTTTTGTTATAATATTATTATTGCAAAAAAAATTTTTTAAATTGATTTTTTTTTTCACTATTTTATAGGATGTGAAATTTTTTCTCTTTTAAATTTTTTCGACGAATTTAATTTAAATTATATTTTGTTTAATTATTATTAAAAATAGAAAGAATTTAAAATTAAATTTAATATTTTTTTAAGTCTGTTACGGTGAACAACAAAATTCATAATTTTCTTATATAAATTCTAGAAATTGAATATTTTTATAGTACCTACTTTTGATCAAATTCCCCGACAAAATAAAACGATTTTATAGAAGATCATTCAATATTTTTTAATGAAATATAATTAATAAGTCTTAAAATAAATATTTCTATTTTTTCACACAAAATAATCAGTGTTTTAAAAAAAAAATTCCAAAATCCCGAACAAGATCAAAATTCACATTTTGTATGACTATCGAATGTATATAAACAAATGTGATACTTGTTCATTAATTAATAAAAAATTAAAAAGATTGAATAGATATAAATTTTTCTACCTATATTTATTATTAACAAAATAGTAAATGAAATGTTTTGTCAAAATATCTTAATCATTATAATTGAAATGCAATTGGGATAATGAGAAAATTATTAACTAACCTGTACATTGGCGAAAGCGGTCAACTTGCGAATAACATTTTTTCCATCGCGAAATAAATCCCAGGTAGAAGAGTGTGACTTTAAGCAAATTCTGCATTGTTGATGCGAATTGTCTAATTCACTTCTTAAATTTGTAATTTCACTTTTATTCTGCTGTTCCATTCTTAATAATATACGAATTTTCACGAAAGTCACTGATGCTTTTGTTGAACGTGATCGTTTTTTACATTCGGAAGGCCCCTTTGTTGCTGCGCCATTTTCTAATATTCTCAGAGTTGGGAAACAATGCTTGCGTTCGAACCAGGGTTGGGCGCGTAAAATACCTCAGGTAAATTACACGTGGTTTTTTACGGTAAAATACAAAGTAAATTTCTTGACTAGTTTTTGACGTTTTTGACACGAGGTAAATTTACTCGAACATAAACTCCAAACTGACAAACTAATTATTTTAAATTTTAATAAACTATGAATAAAGGTGTCAGGCCAGGCGCGGATCCACGGTGGGGCGAAAGGGGCGATCGCCCCCCCCCCAACACACTTAGGGTGCGTTCCCATGTATGCAGAATACGTCGACCGAAAGCAGAAAATCATGAGAATAAAAAGAACAACAATATCTATCTATCTCTTTCGCACTCATGATTTTCTGTTTTCGGTCGACGTATTCTGCTGTAATGGGATTGCACCCTTACTCACAGTGTAATGTTAGGTATTAATATGTCCATGCCTTCATTACTATAAGGTTTTAATTTACGAATCGCCCCCCCCCCCCCAAATTTGCTTCTGGATCCGCGCCTGTGTTAGGCATCGTTATATAATTAATCATTATTATGATGCATATTTTTAAAAAAGCCTTTCTGTATTCATGTAAAATAGAACGACATCAAATGCTCAAAATATTTATATAATATATGAAACTAAAAATAAATATTGAAATAATTTGCGTTGCGTTACAAAACGCAACGCAAAACGGAGCCATGGGATTGCACCTTAAATGCTTTTGGAATTTTATTGCAGAAAGGCCGTAACTCGGAACCTTCAACAACCCAACTTTGATCAGCTGACTTAAATGGAGGGGCAAAATTGAACCATGCGCAGAAAAACATGTATGGAAATGTTGCACTGTCTTCAACTTTAACTACTTTAATTCAATTTTCAACATAAAAATAATCATTATTCTTTGAAATCTACATTATTAGACCAAAAAAGTGAAAATGAAATTTCAATTCGTCATGCACACAAATAATGTTATTTTCTAATTCGAGTAAAATTTAACTTTGTACATCGTACAAAAACAAAGATCTAGTCATTTTATTTTCATTAAAATGTTTGTATTTTTTCAAGTGAAATTAAATTTTTTGACGTAAAAATAACTCGTATAATAATCTGAGTGTTATGGAAATGAAAACTTCGAAGTCGGCTGTGCTTGTTTTAATGTTTATACTGATGCTATCAATACTTGTCGCTAATGTTGTAAATTTGATAAATGTTGATTCCAGTATAGTAAACAGTGAGTCTTTCCAAAAAACAACAGATTCTATTGATCAACATTCATATCAAGCAAAAAAATATGAAATTGGACATTCATTTGAAAGTCTTATGTGGTTTTTACAGGTAGGTTTAATTATTGAAATGTTTTTTCACAGTATCAATAACAATAAGGACGTTTATTTACATGATTCATGTTTATATAATTATCTGTAAGTGTAAAATAATTTTTATAATTTTATTATTGTTTATTTTTTCGATATTCAAAGAGGTGAATTTCTCTCGACAGATCTCTGACATCCACATAAGTATATTTCGTGATCCCTCTAGAATAATAGAACTGAAAGAATTTTGCGATGAAACGATTGATGCAATCAAACCAATAGTTGTTCTTGCCTCTGGTAAGTTTACTATTAACTAGAATTTTTTTTTACATCTATTTAATAGGGCAAATTTTAGTTTCTGCATTAATGAGAATGTCTTAAAATATTGTAAACTGTTTTATCTTATTTTCTAAAAGAAAATTGTAATGATTCTTAAAGGCACTTTCTGGTGCAGAATTAGTGAAGAAGACACTTTCTTTAACTCTTATTATTTTTAAAAATGTATTATAGTTAATGTACAAATTTCTTCCGGATGTTCAAGGTGTCTACTAACCGGGAAATATCCGGGAATTTAATTTGACCGGGAAAAACCAGGAATTTTATGCTAAACCGAGAATTTTTTCAACAAATTAAAAAAAGTTTTATTATTTTATTGTTTTTAAAAAATCGCTTTTTATTTCAATTTTTATAGATATTTATACTGTTCTCTAAATTTGAATTAGTTAAAAATAATTAATTTGATAGTAGAAAATCAGTCACTGATTCAAAAAAAAAATCCAAATTTCAAAAAATTTATGAACATTAATAGAAATTTTGTGAAATTCAACTGAAAATAATTAAATTTGTTAAAGAATTTCATTAAAAACTTTTCAACAAATCTAATTTTCAAAGTATTTTAATTTAATAATTGATAAATAATTGAATGTTATAAAGAGTCACATTCTAATGTATTCACGTTTCTTAGTGCGAAGATTAATGATTAAAATTTGTATTAGTTTTCTAAAAAAAGATACACACTTAAAATTTTTTAATAAAATTGAATTTTCGCAAAATTTTTTTGAAAATTCTGAAAAATAAGATTTTTGACATTTTTTACTTCTATTGTTTCAAGATAATTGAATTTTTATAAACAAAGAATTGAAAATTTTTTAAATAAATGAAATTTCTTTAGACTCTATTACAAATAATTAAATTCTTTGAAAGAATTTTATTTAAATTTTAGAAAATAATCAAGGGAAGTTAGTCACCGTAATTATAATTTTATTTTTAAAAATTTCTCACTCACTTGTTTTTTTTAAATCCTAAGATTGGCAATTTCAAAAATAATAGAACGTAAACATTTGTAATTTAAATTTTGTTTATGAAAATAAAATAGGTATGTGAATTGGAATATATAGTTTTAATATTATTTTAATTATAATAATCATATATTCTGACATAGGGAATTCAGGGAAAAGTCAGGAATTTTTATTAAAAGTAATTAAAAAAATTAAATTTTTAGAATTTATAAGAATATTCTGAATTCTTGTGTCTTTTTTGTTTCACTCATAAAGTATAAAATTATCACGAATTTTAATACAAAACCTTCAATTTCTGACAAAAATTTCTTTTTAAATAACTTAAATCTTGAATAACTATCATAAAATAAATAAATTATTTAATGAATAATTTTTCTTAAGTATTCCAAAATTGATTCAATTTTAAAAGAATTACGTTTACAATTTTCACAAATAAATAAACTTTAAAGGTTTCAATTTGAAATTTTAGAAAATTTCAATGTTGAATGAATTTAATTAGAAATTTTTATGAACAAATCTTCTAAAATTATTTAAATTTGTCAATATATATTTAATTAATTTTATTAAAAATAATGAATTTACAGAAGAATTTTAGTTAAAAAACACTAAAATATTGAATTTTAAAGAAGTTACAAATGATTGCCGAAATTCAATTATTTTCAAAAGTAATAAAATTCTTATCACAAAATTCAATTATGTTCAAAATTTACAAAAAAGTCTCGACAAAATCCCAATTATTATCTTTATAAATATTCTTATTCTTATTCTTGAAAATGTTATTTAAATTCGTTAAAAGAATTTTAATTACCTATTTAAAAATTTGTTGATAAAATTCTTTAAATGTGAGTCCAATTTTTAAAAACATTCAATTCTTCAATAAATTATTTATTTTTTTATTTAAATAATTGAATTCTCGTAAAATTTTTTAATAAAAATTGATTTAAATATGAATTTTAGTTAAAATTTGAGATAATAATTGAACATTAAAATCTCTAAATTTAAATTAGTAAAAATGTTTTCTAATTTGAATTAGTGACTGACTTTTTGTTTTTGAATTAGCAGATTTTTCAAATAAATAGTCGTTTCTACTAATTTAATAGTAAAATTTACTAATTCAGAAGCAAAAAGTCAGTCACTAATTCCAATTAGTAAATATTTTTACAAATTCAATTTTAGAGAAAAACTATTAAAACGTGAATTTTTAGAAATGATTGAATTTTGAAAAGGTTTCAAATTATAATCTTTGAATGTTTGAATTTTTCATACTTTTCACTGAAAATTGTGTAGATTTTTTAAGTTATTTGAAATTTTTATTTTCTAATATATATTTGATGAAGAATTTTCGAATAATCGATGAAATTTCATAAAATTCAATTATAAACAAAAGGATTTTTAAATTTTTAAGGAAATTTTTTAAAAATTATTAAAAATAATTAATTTAAAGAAGAATTTTAGTTAAACATTCTGGAAAACAATAATTGAATTGAAGTGATGAAAGTAATTTTGAAGAAGTTACAGTAACAATATTCTTATAATATAAAATAATGATTTTATCACTTGGTCATCTTTAATTATTATAAAACACGAAGATATCAATTGCTCCGAGTCGAAGAGTTAAATAGTGTCTTTGTTGAACTAAAAAAGATCTAGATCAATAAAATCTAGATGGATCGTAAAAAAATTCTGCAAAAAAGCTAAATTTTGAGGCGTGTAAAGTGGTATAATCCTTAAATTGAAAAAAAATTCGATTTTTTTTAATTCCTTGACCAGAAAGTCCCTTTAATCAAGAATACATGAGGTTGAACTTTACAAGATAAAAAAAACTAAAGAGTAATGTAACGATATATATTTTTTGTTCTCATTCAGCCTCTCATTCTCAAAACAATACTCTTCGTCACGCATAGTAAAAATAATTACGCACAAATACTATTTATAATTTTCTGAACGATTTTGAATAATTGTATATTTGCAAAATTAATTAACTATTATTTACATACTTCTTTTTTTATTTTAATAAAAAAATAGGCGATTTGACTGATGCTAAGACCAGCGATAAAATGGGTTCAAGACAAATATTGGAGGAATGGCAGCATTATAAAAGAGTTTTAGAAGAAAGTCACGTTGTCAACAGAACAGTTTGGCTAGATGTCAGAGGCAATCATGGTAAATATAATATTATACTTTCTTGACCGACAGATTTTTATCAAAAAAAGTATTTTTATGTTAAATATTGAGTTATAAAGTTATGTAATTATGTAAGGAAAATGAGATAATATTATTGTCTCATTTTCAAACTTTACATAATTTATTGGAAAAAATGTCAGCTATCCAATGAAAATAATAAAAAAATTTATTGCAAAAAAATCTCAACTATCCAATGAAAATGATAAAAAAGTTTTGGTGCCTACGCGAGACCGTTAAGAAGAAGAAAAAGAAGAATAATGATCTATTTTTGAAAAAAATTTGACTTCTATATTTTTTAATAATAGATAAATACTGTGATTAAAATAACGAATAAATTAAAATTATTTTCCAGACAATTTCAACGTTATGAATATTAAATCGAAAGAAAATTATTTTGCCAACTATTCAATTCAAGGCAAAAAATATCCACGTTCTTATATGCATCAAGTTTTAGTGGGAGGTGAAATTTACTCTTTTATTGCTATCGATGCGTGTTTGCAACCAGGACCTAGGCGACCATTTAATTTTGTTGGCGCTTTAAATGAAAAGGAAGTAGAAAAAATTCATCGCCTGGTTCAAACTTCGAGGGCAAACAATGGAGATTATATTATTTGGTTTGGGCATTATCCAACGTCGTGTATTTTAGCGCAATGTGAAGGTGGCGTTAGAAGCATTCTAGGTAAAATAATACCAGGATATGAATATTTATTAATATAATATTGTTTTTTATTTAAACATTCTTTATGTTTAGAATTCAATATGTTTTTTTATTAATAGGTAGGTATAGAGAAGGTTTGGCATATCTTTGCGGACATTATCATATGTTTGGAGGTGTTGTACCTAACATGTATACGATGCAACACGCGGGCTTCTTAGAATTAGAATTGGCAGATTGGAAAGACAATAGAATGTAAGTATTATATTGATTGTAGAAATATTCATCCTGGAAATTCTTTGTTTTTGAACGATTTAGTAAAACATTTATTAATTGCAAGCTTCGCACTCATCTACTAAAACATACTATTTACTACTTTTTTTTACGTTTTGCTACTATTTGGATAATATTTTAGATTCAAGCCACTAAAAGATACTATTTCTGTTTGTTTCTTTTTTTTAGAATTTCCACTACTTTAAATTCGCTAATACTAGAAATCAAAAAACTATTCTCATAAATTATAATCAAATTCTTTAAACCGATTCAATTATTTTCAAAATATATTCCAAATTCAATTATTTTCATAAAATTTTGCAAAAGAATTCAATTATTAAAAAAAAATTGATAAAATTCATTCAAATTTTAATTATTTTTATAAATAATAAAATTTCCACAAGAATTCAATTCAATCATAATATTTATTATATTTCGAAAAAATTAATTATTTAAAACCATGTTTATAAAATTCTTATAAAAAATTCAATTATTTTCAAAGATAACAAAATTTTTCACACAAATTCAATTCTTTTTAAACATTTTAATAAAATTTTTCGCAATAATTCAATTATTTTCATAAATAATAAAATTCTTCTCAGAAATATAATTATTTTTAAAAATTTTAATGAAATTCTTTGGGGCCATTCAAGTATTACGTAAGCATATTTTTCAGGTTTTTAGACCCCCCCCCTCCCCATGTAAGATTTTTTATATGCATTAGCGCCATTTTTTCTAATGGAAATAAGCAATAGCTAGGCCCCCTCCTCCCCCTTAAATGCTTATACGTAATACTTGAATGATCCCTTTGCAACTATTCAACTATTTCCATAAATAATAAAATTCATGGTAGAATTTCAATTGTTTTTAAAAAGTTTTACAGGAATTGCTCAACAAATGTATAGTTATTCTTAAAAATTTAATTTCAATTCCTCGATAAAATCAATTATTTAAAAAAATGTGTTTTTTTAATTCTTTGGAAGAATTTAATTGTATACAAAAATATTAGAATTTTTCACTGGAATTCAATTATTTCTCAAATATTTTAATAAAATTGTTCGAAAGAAATCAATTATTTTAAATACAATTTTAATTACATTTTTTTGAAATAATTCAATTATTCTTTTACATTTTAATAACATTTTTCCCAAGAATTCAATTATTTACATAAATAATTCTTCGAAAGAATTCAATTATGTCGATAAATAATAACAAAATTATTCCCGAAAATTTAATTATTTTGAGGCAATTTAATAAAATTCATTACAAAATTCAATTATTTTCATAAATAACAGTATTCATCCACAAGAATTCAATTATTTTTAAAAGTAATAAATTTCTTCTTCGAAATTCAATTATTTTAAAAAATTATAATAAAATTGTTCGCAAGAATTCAATTATTTTCTAAAAAATTCGATAAAATGCCACATAGTCATTCAATTATTGTGAAAAATTTTAATAGAATTCTTTGTAAAATTTAATTATTTTTAAAAACTTTCCGCAATTCAATGATTTTCAATATCTACTATTTTTCATAAAATTTCTAAACAGAATTCAATTATTTAAAAAGATTTTTGTAAAAATATGTACGTAAGAAGATTAAAAAGAATTGAAATTCTTTTCATGAATAATAAAAATTTCTCAGGAATTCAATATTATTTAAATTAGAATTTGCATAAAATTTAGACGAAATCAGTCATTTAAAAATTTTTATAAAATTCTTCGCAAGAATTAATTTGTTTTTATATATATTTAAATTCTTTCATGAATAATAAAAATTCGTTGCGGGAATTCAATTTATTAGCAGTATAAGAAAGAAGTAAATATTTTTGATGAAAATTAAGAAAAAGTCAGGAAAATAAAATATAAAATGAAATTTTTGTCAGTTTTGTGAAGTTTCGAAAACTTGTTTTTTTGGTCGTCAAGTTTAATTTGTCGATAGATACTTTTTTACTACTTTTTTTAGTTTGAAATCTACTTTTTGCTACTTTTTTAAAATTAATTATTGAGTGCGAAGTCTGTAATTGCGTCGCTTAATCTGTATAATTTACTGTAATTATTTTTAATATATAATTTATTTTATACTCTTATCTTTTTATTAAATTATAACTTGTGAAATTATGTAAGTAAATTTTGAAATTGAAAATAGGTATCGACTTGGGGCAGTAGATCACGGTCAATTCTCCTTTGTTGATGTAAATCATCGAGAATGGCCTGTAGCGCTAATTACTAATCCAAAACATGCCATGTTTGCCATGCCTCAAAAAGAGAATCTACAATCTATTGTTCAATCTTCGCACATTAGGTAAGAAAAAAAAACAATGAAACTTTAAAACCATTATTTTTTTAAAATTAAGAGAAGTTTGACTATGTTTGAGGGGCCCTCTTTCCCCCACATTTTCAATACTTGAGTGCTTTTGGTGCAATTTTTTGTGGCTGAAGCAAATAGTTTTTTTAACATTTCATTTTTTATACATAAATTTTATTCTGAAAAAGAAGTAAATTCTTAAAAGGATATTTTTGAAATAATAATAATAATAATTCATTAAATATCACATTTTTTCTAGGGTATTGGCATTTTCATTAGCTCCTATTACGAAAGTTGAAGTGAAAGTAAATAATGATTTATGGCTTCAATGTAGAAATGTAAAGGGGCCTCTTTTTGTAACGAGATGGAATACATCCAATTATCTAATCGGAGTTCATAATATTCAAGTATACATATTCTTGTGTCTATATAATATTTACTAATTTCTAGATTTATAGCTCAATTACTTATGAATATAATCGTGAAACAATTACTATTTTATATATTGTATTTTATTATTATTTCTTCATTATTTGCAAATACTTTTTGTTATATGTATATAGGTTCGAGTTGCAGATAGTGATGGCAGAGAAAGAACTGTAACACAATCATTTTCCTTAGATGGCACCAGACTATCATTCAGCGTTCTTCCACGATTAATTCTCATGTCCAATGTCAGCCATATTGTAAGTTCAAAATACTGTTTCGATTTTTTAAACACATTTTACTCAATAAAATGCGTAATTTCTGCAAATTTTATTGATGTTAAATAAATAAACTTTATTGAATACAAAATATTAAAAATGGAAGTGGATCAGACCACCGACTTTGTCTGAAAGTCGTTTTACCATATTTTAAAAGAATCTAATTTTAACCCTATAACGAAAAACTGGGCTTGGGGAAAAACCCCAAGCGAAGTTAAAGTATGTTCACGGCTTAACCACTGTTATTTTTGCGTCAAGATCCTAACCAAAATTCATTTTATACATCTGATAATTTTAAAGTGTCTTGATTTACTTTTTAAAATCCGCTTGATTTTTTTAAATTTACCACATTGTTGAGAAATTGCAATAATTTAACAGGCATCACAGTTGGTCCCCTTTTCCCCTTTTGTCCCCTTATTTCAATTTTATAACCTTTTTCACAATTTTTGACAATTTGTCACCTTTTTCCCCTTTTTCACCTTTTTCTAATCAAAAATAAACAAGTTTTTCTTTTTTTGAAATCTTTTTCAAAGTGTAATCATAAAATTTAGACTTAATTATAAGGTGGTTCATTCAACAGAATGCAGAACTCTAGAAAAAGAATTAATTAACATTCAAATATAATTAAAATATTATTATTAATAATTTTCTCTAAAAAAACAAAAATTCTAATACAAAACCTTCAATTTTTTCCATTTCTAACAATAATTTCTTTTTAAATAACTTAATTCTTCAAGAATAATTTTATTTATACATTTCAAAATTAATTCAATTTTAAAAGAAATGCGTTTACAATTTTCATAAATAGATGAACTTTAAAAGATTTTAATTTCAAATTTTATCAAATTTCAATTCTTAATGAATTTCATTTTAGAAATTCTAAAGAAATTAAATTTTTGAAAAAACTTTCAAAATTTAAATAATTCTGAAATTAGTTAAATTCTTTGAAATATATATATTTAATTAATTATTAAAAATAATGAATTTATTGAGAAATTTTAGTTCAAAACACTAAAAAAAATTTGAATTTTGGACAAGTTTCAAATAATTGCAAAAATTCAATTATTTTCAAAAATAATAAAGTTCTTCACAAAAATTCAATTATCCCTTTCACGCCCATGGGACATATACGTCCCACCTACAAAAACCTCAATATCTTTGAAGAAACTTAATATTTTTGAATCTAATTTAGTGCGTTCTCTTCAGGAAGAATAGGGCTTTAAAAATAAGTAACCTAAATCATGTTAAAAAATTCTTATTGTTTAAAAAAATTCATAAATTATTGTTAAAAATCATGAATTTTTAAAATATTTTAAAATCGCCTAAAAATTGTTACTCGGGGGGTTTTCGGGGTCGCTGATTACGAATCCGGTGCTAGTTTTTCAAAATTCAAAATGGCGGATCTAATATGGCGGACGACAAATGTAAAAATTAAACGGATTGGCATGAAACTTGTTACTCGGGGGTTTTTAGGGTCGCTGATTACGAATATAATATCAGTTTTTTAAAATTCAAAATGGCGGATCCAAGATGGCGGTAGATTATTTTTAAACATTTTAATTACACCTGAAAATTGTTACTCGGGGGTTTTCGGGGTCGCTGAATACGAATCCGGTGTTATATTTTTAAAATTCAAAATGGCGAATCCAATATGGCGGACGTTATTTTTAAAATCGTTTAGTTTCACCAGAAACTTGTTACTCGGGTGTTTTCGGGGTCGCTGATTACGAATCCAGTGTTATATTTTTAAAATTTAAAATGGCGGATCCAAGATGGCGGACGATTTTTCTTAAACATTTTAATTTTACCTGAAACTTGTTACTCGGGGTTTTTCTGAGTCACTGATTACGAATTAAGTGTTAATTTTTAAAAATTCAAAATGGCGGATCCTATACGGCGGACGACAAATGTAAAAATTGTTTGGATTAGAGGGAAACTTGTCACGCAAGGGTTTTTATGGTCTCTTATCACGAATTTGTAGTTTATTTTAAAATTGCGATTGTGTATTTATTTATTTATTTCTGTCAGTAGATGGACTTGTTTCTTTTTACTCTCACTGGATTCGTAATCAGCGACCCCGAAAACCCCCGAGTAACAAGTTTCTGGTGAAACTAAACGATTTTAAAAATAACGTCTGCTATATTGGATCCGCCATTTTGAATTTTAAAAATATAACACCGGATTCGTATTGAGCGACCCTGAAAACCCCCGAGTAACAAGTTTCTGGTAAAACTAAACGATTTAAAAGAAATCGTCCGCCATCTTGGATCCGCCATTTTGAATTTTTAAAAAATGATGTCATATTCGTAATCAGCGACCTCAAAAACCTCCGAGTAACAATTTCCAAGCCAATCCGATCAATCTGTAAAAAAGTTGCCCGCCATATTGGATACGCCATTTTGAATTAAAAAAATTTTATAATTCTGATATCAGATTCGTAATCAGCGACCCCGAAAACTATGAATAACGTTACACTTACGTTTTTTTAACCGTCCAGTTATGCCTGGGTGTGAAAGGGTTATATTAAAAAATTTATAGAAATTCTCGTCAAAATTTCTATTCTCTTTATAAATAATAAAATTATTCTTCAAAATTCAATTATGTTCAAAAATTTTAATAAAATTCTTGGCAAGATTTCAATTATTTGTAAAAATTTTCCTCAATTCCATGATTTTTAATATCTACTATTTTAATAAAATTTTCCAAAAGAATTCAATTATTTAAAAAAAAATTATTAAAATTCTACACAAACGTTTAATTATTTTCATAAATAATAGAATAATTTCACAGGAATTCTATTATTTACAAATTTTTATAAATTTCTTGTCAATAATTGAATTATTTTTATAAATAAAAAAACTCATCGCAGAATAATAATTATTTTTAGTACAATTAATAATTAATAATAATAATAATTAATAATAATAATTAATTTATTTATTTATTTATTTATTAATTAATTAATAATTAATAATTAATACCTCGAAAAATGTAATTACTTTTTTTAAATTTTATTAAAATTCGTCGAAAAAATTTAATTTTGTAAAAATTTGTTATTCAAATTCTTTACGAGAATTCAATATTAAGGAACATTCAATTATTCAATATAAATTATTTATTTTTGTATTTAAATAATTGAATTCTCGTAGAATTTTTTAATAGAAATTGATTTAAATGTGAATTTCAGTTAAAATTTTACATAATAATTGAATATTAAAAGCATTATAGCATGAATTTTTAGAAATAATTGAATTTTGAAAGTTTTAAATTGAAATCTTTGAAAATCTGAAATTTTCATATTTTTAACTAACAACTCTGTAGAATTATTTTTTTTCAAAAAGTTTAATTGAAATTATTCCATGTTTTTATTTTCTAATATATATTTAATTGAAGAATTTCCAAATAATCCATGAAATTTCGTAAAATTGAATTGTAAACAAATACATTCAGGCTTCGAAGTGACACACTTTTCCACTTTTTTGACACTTTTTTTGGTCAAGCCTACTTTTTGCTACTTATTTTGTCAAAAAGCTACTAAATGCTACTTTTTTCCAAAAAAGGTAAAAAAAATTTACAGAATTCAAGAATTTTAGTTTTTTTGGTGAATTTCGTAGATTTCAAAAAACCCGCCAAGTGAATTAAATTTATTATTGGACGCGTGATTATAATATATTATAATAATTACTAATAGTGGATGTTTATTAAATTACAACTTTTTAACGTTTCGAATTTTTCGTATCTAATTTTATTATTCTTTAAGCTTCTTAAAAAAATTAAAAACTAAATTTTTCATTTTCCACTATATAATTTAATAGTAATACCTTTTTTGACTTTATAAAAGTTTCATCAAGTATAGAAAAAATCAATTAAGAATGAAAACTTAATTCTTTTGGTTATATAAATTGTTTGATTAAAAATCCAAAATAATATTTATTTAACGTGATTATTTATTATACTATGTTTACAAACTTTATGTCAAATTTAAAAATATTAATTGTATTTTTAATAATACAGTGTTTTAAGTCGGTTGTTCAATAATAAAAAAATCATTTATAAAGATTTAAGATCTATCTAGAAGAAAAATTATAATTTTTTTTAATTATAGAAAGTGAATTTATCATTCGGCAGTTAAATATTAAGAAGAAAGAAGCTAACAATAATCCGAATCAAATTTATACAAACAAATTAAATATCTTAAATAAATCTCTATAAGCTCATAGATTTCATAACTTCTTTCTTCTTAATATAATTTTTTTTATTGGAATTAAATTGCTCATAATTTATTATTGTACAAAATTATGGCTATGTGGATTCTAAAATTTAAAAAATTTATATGACTAAAAACAATCCATTTTTTTCATTTTGATAGTTGTTATTAGTAAATTACTAAAAAATGTTTACGTTTCATTTTTAAAAATTAGATGGCTGATAAAAAGTTATTGATAGTTTTTTAAAAAATAATAAGGAGAAAGAAGGTGTCAATTTAACTTCTCAAAATTATGAGCCTGTTATTAAAAAACAAATTCTTATGAAAGATCTCATTTAAGTATTATTATTAACAATTACATTTCATTATGCAAATAAAACTTTCTAATGTAAAATATCGACAAAAAAGCTATTATATTTTCATTTTTTATGTTTATAAATCAAAATTTAAGAAAAATTTTGTGAATTCCTATTTTTAGTATTTTTTTCTTTCAATTTTTTGGACAACAACATATATTCACTTAATTTTCTTACTTAAAAAACTAATTTTACTTCATTTTTAATATGCTACTTTTTGCTACTTTTTTTCAATTTAGAGGACACTTTTTTCTTCCAAAATGCTACTTTTTCACACTTTTTTTGACCTGCTACTAGACTTCGAAGCCTGTACATTTGAAAATTCTCAGAATTTTTTTAAAAATTATTATAAATAATTGATTTAAAGAAGAATTTTAGTTAGAAATTCTAGAAAATAATAATTGAATTGAAATGATAAAAATAATTTTGAAGAAGTTACAGTAAAAATATTTTTTATAGTAGAAAATAATGATCTTATCACTCGGTCATCTTTAATTATTATAAATTGTTGAATTTCAAAAAAATTTGAATTTGAATGCTTTGAAAATCTTAATTCCTATGGAAAAATAATAATGTTTAAATATATTTTTTTAAAAAAAGAAGTTTCATTTCATTTCATTTATTATAAACGGGTCATGCCCTTTCATACCTAAGTATTCATAAAACTAAAAGTTACATAATCTTGTAACATACAAGTAACTTATCTAATTTATATTAACTAAGTCGACCCTACTACAATGGTTTTAGTATATTTTTACGTAATAATGCGGTGAATCTAGTAAAATTACCATCAAAAAAGTCGATGCAATTAGGAAGTTCATTAGCCTCTCTACTAAGTCTATTAAACATCGAATGATATCCATAATTAGTTCTGTGAAAAGATTCAAAAAATAACGTAAAATTTCTGGTTCCTCGAATAGGAACTGACAATTTAATCAATGACAATAATAAAGTGCAATCAATTTTACCATTTAAAATCTTGTATAAAAAGGTCATATCATTAAATAGAAATCTGGATGTTATCAAAGGTATCTGCAAAAGAACACGTAAGTTACCATAATCATGGCTGTATCTGTCAAAAGGTATACGAAGTTGACGTGCTATAAATCGAAAAAATCTACTCTGAACACGTTCAATTCTTACTCTGTAGATTGTATAAAATGGTACCCAAATTATAGAAGCATACTCCAATATTGGTCTCACAAGAGAGAAATAGAGAACTTTAAGCACATTTTCAGTATGAAAGATTGATGCATTTCTCATAACAAACCCCAAACATTTTAAAGCCCTAGAAATGATTTCAGATATGTGCTCATTAAAACTGAGATTATTACACAAAAGTACTCCCAAATCACTCAATTTTGTCACTCTTACAAGTTCTTCCTGACCAATATTGTAGCAATACATGAATGTATTCTTCCTGGAAAAAGATATTACTGAACTCTTATTCATATTTACAAACATATGATTTTTATTACACCAAACCTCTAAACGATCCAAATCTGATTGTAAATCAGATGAATCACAGTCAGGATTAGTAGAATCAATCAATTTATATACTTTAAGGTCATCAGCATACAATAAGAAAAAAAAAATATAATAAGCAATAAGTTATTGCTGTTTTCAAATAATTTTACAATAATTAAAGAAATTCGTAATAAATAAATGTAATAGAACATTTTTTTTGAGTATCTAATTATTTTTAGAGTGAATCAGAATATTCTTTAAGGTCAGGGAAAAAGTCAAAATTTTGTAAATCAGGGAAAAGTCAGGGAAGAACAAAATTAAATTTTTTGGCAACTCTAATTAAAATCGAATCATTTAAAAAAAATTTTATAGAAGTTATATGATAAAAAATTTGAATTATATATGCAAGTTGTATAAACAAATAAAACTTTGTCCCCTTTTTGAGGAAAAAAATTCCCCTTTTCACCTTTTTTGAGTGTGAAGACTGATTTTGCGAAAGTTTTCAATTTTTTCTGTTCCCTTTTGTTTTAACATTTTCAAAATTTCTCTACACTTTTCTACGAAATGAATGATGCCATCGTCTTCCGTAATGAAAAACGAAAAAAAATACAATATATAAAAGTTGCTTTCAGCAAAATGTTTTGAACATTTACTGAACAAATGTTTCAAATTATATGTTTCTTTTACAAATATTAGATTTTTTAAAAATATGGCCACAACGACTTTTCGACGAAAATCAGTGGTCTGACCTAAATGTATTTTTGTAAAATAAAAAATTCTCGCAAATAAGGTAAACCAGACAGTAGTCGACACTAAACAATTTTGAGTAGTTATTGTTAAGATTTTTAAATAAAATGTAAATTTCTTGATAGGATCTGGTAAGTTGATAATCTACATTTTGTTGAAAAATTTTAGAAATAACCACTCATAATTATCAAATATAAATTGAGCTTATAGAAATAAGGTATAATAATGAAATTATATTATTTTAGTTCCAGTTCCTTTTTGGAAGTACTCTATTGTTATTAATTATTCCCCTATGCATACTGCGATTCATGCACATGCTTTATCAAGGTAATGGATTTTTTTACCTCCTCTCTGAGAGTATCACAAATTCTAAAATTACCTTTTTCTCTTTTACGATATTGGTGTCACAGAAAAATACAGAGAACCTCCTAGATTACGCATTCGGATTTTCCAAAAACTAGTCAGAAAATTGTGGATATTATCTAGTATTGACAGACTTTTCTTCCCATTAATTTTTTATGAAGTCTATCTGGCTATTGGTAAGAGAAACATGTCGATATAATTTATTTCCTAATTGATAATTTAATTTCATTAAATTTACTGCAACTATTTTAATAATGAATATTTATTAAGGACCCTGGATTATTGGTGAAGTGATCGAGGATAATGTGGGCGTAGTATTTGCGTGGGGTACATTTGTTGGTAACAAGTACTTACCTGGATCATTTACTTATGCATATGGGTTCTTCCAATTGTTTTCATTTCATCTTCCACTTAATCTTGTCTTGGCACATCGAATCGATAAAAGGTAAAAGTACTATCTGATTTCTAATTTTACATGATTCATGTTTTTATTTTAAAGAAACAAAAATTTTTAAACTTTTCATTTTATTTTATTTAATATTATAGTTATTAAAAACTTTTTTAATACCATCAACAAAAGCTATTCTGTGCACCTAGGGGCAATTTTGTGCACGCGATGTTTTTAATGAATAAAATCACTAAAATGAATTGTTTTAATTTACTATTTTTTGAAATATTTGTTATATTTTTCAAAAATGTGTAGTTGATTTTCTTTTCTATAATTTTGAATTTTAATGAATCGTTGAGTCAAAAAATAGCTATTTGATGCACAAAATTGCCCCGGTGGACGGTAAAATTCTTTTTGTAAACTTCAATAAATTTTTTGCATAGTTTATGATCAATTTTATTAACTTCAACTAACTACATTTGTTTAAAACTTTTTTTCAGTCAGTAGATAATTAAAAGATAAAAAAATTATTATTTTTCATATATCATAATTCATAATGTTAAATAATTTGGAGAATTTTAGAGAAATCACAAATGATTGCAAAAATTCAAATATTTTTAAAAGTAATAAAATTCTTCTCCGGAATTCAATTATTTTCAAAAATTTTAATACAATTCTTGACAAAATTTCAATTATTTTCAAAAATTTTCCTCAATCAATGATTTTTAAAATTTACTAATTTAATAAAATAGTCCAAAAGAATTCAATTATTTAAAAAAAAATGTAATAAAATTCTACGCAAACCTTTAATTATTTTCATAAAATAATAAAAATTTCACAGGAATTCAATTATTTACAAATTTCTTTTTAATTTCTTCGCAATCATTCAATTATTTTCATAAATAATAAAAATTTTACACGAATTTAAATATTTTCGTAAATAATAAAATTTTTCTCAGAAATTCAATTATTTTCATAAATAATAAAACTCATTGCAGAATTTCAATTATTTTTAATATAATTTTAATCAAATTCCTTGAAAAATGTAATTATTCTTCAAAATTTTATTGAAATTCGTCGAAAGAATTCAATTATTTAATACTTTGTTGGTAAAATTCTTAATGAGAATTCAATTTTAAGAAACATGCAAGTATTTAATAAATTGTATTTAAATAATTGAATTCTAGTTGAATTTTCTAATAAAAATTAATTTAAAAATGGATTTCAGTAAAAATTTTAGATTATAAAAATTGAATATTAAAAGCATTATAGCGTGAATTTTTAGAAATAATAAACTTGAATTCTGAAAAGGTTTCAAATTAAAATCTTTAAAAATTTGAAGTTTTTATATTTTTAACTATCAATTCTGTGTAATTAATTTTTTTTGAGAAAGTTTAATATTGCGGGTTTCTTAAAATTATTTGTAGTTTTTATTTTCTAATATATATTTAACTGAAAATTTAAGAATAATTGAAATTTTGTAAAATTGAATTGTAAACAAATGAATTTGAAAATTTTCAAAGAATTTTTTTTAAAATTATTTAAAATAATGCATTTTAAAGAAGAATTTTAGTTAAAAACACGAAAAAAATCTTATTTTGGAAAAGTTAAATTATTGCAGAAATTAAATTATTTTCAAGAGTAATAATATTATTTGAAAAATTTAAATATTATTGAAAAATAATAAAATTCTTCTTAGGGATTTAATTATTTTTACAAATAATAAAACTCATCGCATAATTTCAATTATTTTTAATACAATTTAAATCGAATTTTTTGAAAAATGTAATTATTCTTCAAAATTTTATTAAAATTCGTCTAAAGAAATCAATGTTTTAAAAATTTGTTGATAAAATTCATTATGGAGTTTGAATTTTAAGAAACATTCAATTATTCAATAAATTATATATTTTTGTTTATAAGTAATTCAATATTTGTAGAATTTTCTAATAAAAATTGATTTAAAAATGAATTTCAATTAAAATTTTTGAAAATTTGAATTTTTCATACTTTTAACTAACAATTCTGTGGAATTAATTTTTTTGAGAAATTTTAATTGCGGATTTTTTTAAAATTATTTAAAGTTCCTTTTTCTAATATATATTTAATATTGAAAAATTTACGAACAATTGAAATTTTGTAAAATTGAATTATAAACAAATGAATTTGAAAATTCTCAAAGAACTTTTTCAAAAATTATTAAAAATAATGGATTTCTAGAAGAATTTTAGTTAAAAACATTAGAAAAATATTTAATATTGGAGAAGTTAATATTCAATTATAGGTAATGTAGGAAATTATTTGCTGATGAAGAATTTTAATTAAGGAAGATTTCGACTATATCAGCAATTAGTGACATCTATTAGACGTCAATTGAACTCTTTGGTTTAGAGTCAGGTGTTATTCTTAAGATAATTATTCCGATATGGTTGTCGGTAAATAATTATATTTTTGAATTTAATTTTTGATCTGAAAAAATAAGCTGCGTGAACGACTGCACTGTGCATCTGTGAGGACTCGAACCCCAGTTAATAGCTGCCTTTCGCGGGACTAACGCCTACCAATGCACCATGCCAACACAGCCTGGACGTTCACGTTTCTTATAATCTCAGATCAAGCCCATACACTAGTCGAAGAGCTGTATAGTTAATGTAGGAAATTATTTGCTGATGAAGAATTTTAATTAAGGAAGATTTCGACTATATCAGCAATTAGTGACATCTATTAGACGTCAATTGAACTCTTTGGTTTAGAGTCAGGTGTTTGAATAGGGTATAGGGTATAGGGTTAGTTTGAAATCTAATGCAGACTTAGTCAATAGATTGTGAACAAACCTCACAAGATATTTGTATAATTTTTTTTTAAATTGATCTTTGACTTTATTTGATATAATAAAAAAATTTAGAATGTCGTAGTGCGTATATTTTATTAAATAATAAATATTTTTGAAAGTAATGCAAGTGCTGGTATTACCGTGGTGCACAAAGCTTCATGATCGGAATACCGTGTGCCATATACCGTGGATGATCTAGTTACCGTGTGCCTTATACCGCGAAAATTTCAACTTGTAGAATTCGCAAACGGTTGAATGAAATTAAGCAAATTTGAAACAATGGTTTATTAATTTAACAATAAATATTCTTATATTTTAGTAGATACTAATAATAATCACAGAATTCGTTATAAATCTATTAATAACTTTATTTAGTGCCTTTATTAAGTACATACATTCCTAATAATATTTAATTAAATATTTTTTATGAAAATAGTAATTATTATTAAAATAACAATAGTATTTGGTGTAAATCATTTTGAAATTATTTTTTAATTCCTGCGGTTCTCCTTTAACTTGAAAAGCACGATTTGTTACTTTACATATTATTTTTAATGATAATAACGACCCACGGTATTTGGCGCACAAGTTCAAAACGTTATCCAATTACCGTGTTGATAAAATAAAAATACGTTAAATCATAATTTACCACAAAGTTTTGACTTTAAAAATACATTAATTAATCGAATATACAAAAATTAACAAGTTTAAAAGTATTAATAATGAAAAAAGCGATTTATATAAAACTGTATTTTTGCATTACAATGAGCAATTTATCAAACTTCCGCACCTACAAAATTTAGAATTTTTTAAAACGAGAAATGTAAGTTAAATAACAATAATGTTTTATTTATTAAACACATACAACATGAAAGTAACTATCTGAATTTTTTTGATTAACAAATTGGAATATAAATGGTAAAATTTGACAAAAATAGCGAAACCACGGTAACTCACGCACCCACGGTAATACCCACACTTACCCTAATTGAATAAATTATTTACTTTTGTATTTAAATAATGGAATTCTCGTAGAATTTTCTAATAAACATTTATTTAAAAATGAATTTTCTAATACGCATTTAATTGAAGAATTTAGGAATAATTGAAATTTCGTGAAATTGAATATTGTAAACAAATGGTTTTGAAAATTGCCAAATAACTTTTTCGCAAATTATTAAAAATAATTTATCTAAAGTAGAATTTTAGTTAAAAATTTTTGAAAATAATAATTGAATTGAAATGATGAAAGTAATTTTGAAGAAGTACAATATTCTTATAATATAAAATAATGATTTTATCACTGGGCCATCTTTAATTATTGTAAAACATGAAGAAATCGATCACTCCGAGTCGAAGACTCGGAGCGTTCGATTTCTTCGTGTTTTATAGTTATGAAAAATTTAATTTATAGTTTTCAGTAAAATGTTCTTTTATTTGTGTCTGACTTGTTATATTTTTGTCAGTAATTGGTCCATAAATGGTCCGTAATTTTTCATTTTTAGTCCGTAAAGTCCGTATTTTTAAATACTTTCACTGGTTCGAGCCCTGACTGTACCTAATAATTTTTTTCTTCAAAAAAAGATGGAAGTAATTTTATAAAAATTTAAACACGACTATAGCAACAATTTCTATTTTTATTTTAAAAAACTATAAAAATTAAACATTTTAAAAACTCTGAATATGAAATAATTTTTTTTCAGATTGCAATATATCAGAAAACCTTCTGCAAAACGATTTTCCATTATTCAAATAATATCGCAGCATTTATTCTTCGTGATGTTAATATTAATGCAAGCAGGTATGGCATATTTCTTTTGGTTAGCATACGGAACATTAGCAACGATACTTTGTCCATTAAGAACTTGGAGTTTAATTTTTGCCTGCATTTTGTGGCATCAAGTTCACAGAATGCCAAAAAGATGCATGAGGTAAGGAAAATAATTCTTTTCAATCATAAAAATTTATCTATACTTTAAAGGCTATATAAAGATTTTTTTGATCCTCTTCTAAAGGTCAGCAGCAAAGTTATGGTACAAACAAATTGTTCATCTACTATAATAAACTTTAATGAAATTATACAATGATGAAACTTTGAGGAAATGTATTTGCAATTTTTACAATCAGACAACTACAAATTGCACTTCTACCATTTCCATATTTAACTAATTCTATGTACGAGAAAGAAATGAGTCTTTTTTAAATGAAGAAAAAGTAAAAAATAAGATCTGCATAAAGAAGTACTTTTTTCTTCATTTTTATTTTTTTATGTATATATCGATTAATTCTAATTTCGCATAGTGTAAATACGAAACTACGGGACATTCATAAAAAGATTTCAAAGAAATAAAATTGTATAGCCACTGATTCAGTGTTATGTACCAAATCCGTTTGTCTGGCTAAGATTATGAGACAATATAAATTTGACTCAAAACTACATATTTTACTCAGAAGTAAATGTAAAAGCAAAAGAGAAAGTTGATTTAGAAAAAAGTCTCCGTTTATTTTATGGATGCCCCGATGCCTAAGGCCAGACTCAAAAGATTTTTTAAAGTTTTTCTCTTACGAATCCTTTACCATTTTGATCGATAATCATGAAAATCGATTGTTTCGATTTTAATTCCCATTGGGAAAAATTAGAAAATTTGTTTCATCTAGGTATTTAAAAATAGATTTTTCTGAAAATCTTTTAATTTACAAAATATTTAGTATAATTACTCATTACCTTCACTATTCGTTTGTCATTTATTAATCAAATCGCAATAATTTGGTTAAGAATGCAGAATGTAAAACAAGGAGAAAGAGAATTTATCTTTTACACTAATCTTCTCTACAATCATTCAGGGTTGCCACAGATCAGGGAAAGTAGAATTGGTCAGGGTTTTTTATTAAAAGTACTGTAAAAAATTAAATTTTTAGAATTCATAAGAAAATTCAGAATTTTTGGTGTCTTTTTTGTTTGACTCATAAACTATGAAATTACCTCGAATTCTAATCAAAAACCTTTGATTATTATATTTTTGAAAATAATTTCTTTTTAAATAACTTAATTTATTGTTCAAGAACTATTACAAAATTATTACCTACTTATTATAAATTATTTAATGAATAATTCTATTTAAATATTTCAAAATTAATTCAATTTTAAAAGAGTTGCGTTTACAATTTTCATAAATAAAATGAACTTCAAAAAGTTTTAATTTCAATTTTTAATGAATTTAATAAAAAAAATTTAAAGCACTTAGATTTTTGAAATATTTTTAAAATCCAAATTCTTCTGAATTCAATTTTTTTAAATATATATTCAATTAATTTTTAAAAATCATGGATTTGTAGAAGAATTACATTTATAGTTAAAACACAAAAAAATTTGAATTTTAGAGAAATTATAAAAGTTTGAAAAAATTGAATTATGTTCCAAAATTTAAAAAAATTCTCGTCAAAATTCAATTATAAATTTTTTTTACCAAATTCTATACGCAAGTACCTATGAAATTATTAATTCAGAAATAATAAAAATTTCACAAGAATTCAATTATTTACAAATTTTTTATAAATTTCTTTGCTATATTGCAAAGAAATTGTTCAAATAAATAAAAAAAATTTTCACAGAGCTTTCATTATTTTCATGAGTAAAAAAAACTCATAATAGAATTTCAATTATTTTTAATACAATTTTACTCGAATTCTTTACGAGAATTCAATTTTGAAAAACATTCATTTATTTAATAAATTATTAATTTTTCTATTTCAATAATTGAATTCTCGTAGAATTTTTGCTAGTGAAAATTGATTTAAAATTGAATTTCAGTTAGAATTTTAGATAATAGGTAATTGAATATTAAAAGTATTATAGCATGAATTTTTAGAAATAATTGAATTTTCAAAAAGTTTAATGGAATTTTTTTTAATTATTTAAAGTTTTTATTTTCTAAATATATAATTTTTCAAAAATTATGATAAATAATTGATAATTGTTAATTTATTTCTTTCAAAGAATTTTAATAAAATTGTTTATATTGTGGCCTTGGGTCCAAAATATTTAAAAAAGTTGTTAAAAATCAGCAATTATTACTTTATTTCATCGAATGCATTTTCACTGTGAACACAGCTCATCAGGACTACAGAAAAAATATAAAAAAGTTGTGTAAATAGAAAATACGAATTCAAGAGCAACATTGTGTGTGGATTAATATAAACAATTTTATTTGACAAAAATTAAAATCCTGAAAACACTCTACGTTAAAGAATTTTAATGGAATTTTTGAAATTAATTACATTTTTGAAGAATTTACTGAAAATTTTATTAAAAATAATTGAAATCCTGTGAAGAATTTTATTATTTTGGAAAATAATTGAAGTCTCGCAACGAATTTTTATTAAATTTTTCTATATGAAGAATATTATTATTTATGAAAGTAATTGAATTCTTGCAAAGAATTTTATTACATTTGTTAAAAATAATTGAATTCTTTTGAGAAATTTTATGAAAGTAGTAGATTTTGAAAATATTTTGAATTTCAGAAAAGAATTTAATTATTTGTGAAATGTAATTGAATTATTGCACAAAATTTTTGAAAATAATTACATTTATCGAGGGATTTTTTTAAAAATTGTATTAAAAATAATTGAAACCTTTTAAAAAAAATTTATTATTTATAAAAATTAATTGGATTTTATTACATTTTATAAATAATTGAATTGATGTGAAAAATTGTATTACCTTTAAAAATAATTAAATTCTTGGGAAGGATTTTATTGAAATTTTTGTAAATAATTTAATTTTTTTTTAAATTTTATGGAAATTTAAATTAAATTAAACTCCGAAACTTCGACTCGGAGTGATTAATATCTTCATGTTTTATAATATTCTTAAAAGTTATTGAATTTCAATTGGTTTAAATTTGAAAATTTTGAAAATCTTAATTCCTATGGAAAAATAATAATGATTAAATATTTATTTTAAATAAAATTATTGCTGTTTTCGAATAATTTTAAAGTTAAAGAAATTCGTAATAAATACCATGTAATAGAAAATTTTTTTGAGTATCTAATTATTTTTAGAGTGAATCAGAATATTCTTTAGAGTCAGAGAAAAAGTGAAAACTTTGTCTGGAAATCAGGGAAAAGTCAGGGAAAATCAAAATTAATTTTTTGTGGCAACCCTGTTATTGTTTATTATTGACTGATTTAATTTAAACCAAAGTTGAGTTGTCTACAACTACACATACCTCAATGTCTCAGTGCTGATAAATAGTTAAAATAGCGGAGCAAAAGAAATTATAAACTTTTTTTTATTTATTTTAATTTAGAGAATTGTATCTTTTTTAATATAAAATATAATTCTGGAAAAATACTATTTCTGTCTTTTACTATTTTATAATAATAGTTTTTCTTTTGCTCCATTTTTAATAGTATTAAACCTTCCAGTATAAACACTTCTAATAGTTTAAATTCAACTTCCTGATAATACACAATATTAGCGAATGAACAATATTAAAATCTTGTTCTGTGTACTGAAACATTTTTCTGATAGTAATAATTTTGTGAAAAAATTGTAAATCGAAATTTTATAATTTTTGGTAGAAAATTATTTAACTGATTTTAAAAAATGAAATGTATGTAAAAAAACATTTAGGTTTTTAATTTATTATTATAAATTATAGTAGTAAATGTTTATCCATGAAGAGATAATCTTAATGGAAGAGACTGAAAGAAAATAAACATTAGTAGCAATGAAATTTACGCTCTAGGTAGTGTAAATTAAGCACAGATAGTATATTATTTAACAAAGTCAAAACAAAGTCAAAAAATATTCTGTAAACAAATAAATGTATATATGTAATGATTGTGAGCGGAAATTTTGTGATTGTATCTTTTTTGAAACTTATGTTATATAATCTTCAATAAATATTTATTACATATATTATAGTATAAATTTATTAAGTTTAAAGAATAAAGATAATTATTTCTTGTTAAAAATTACATATTCTTTTCATTATTACTGTTAAATGACACACTTTATTACTTCATATGCAACACGCTGGGAAAAAAGGTACCTTAGAAGCAAATCATTTTAAGGATATGATTTATATAATTTTTACCTTAATTAACAGATTCTGTTCAATAAATTATTATTAACTGTATATTCAAGTAAAAAATTACAAATTAACTATACTAATATCCGTATTCTTTCAATCATTCTGTCCGCAGTTTAAAGTTAGTTTCTGTTTATGCTTTAGTTTTTTTTTTCTTTAAAAAATATTGTTTGACAAATCGAAAATATGGAGGTATTTTTTCATGATTTCTAATAAAATAATATTACAAATTAGAAAATTTTTCAAAAATTATGATTAACAAATAAAAAATATACCCATTTTGTTTATTATATGCTTTTTTCTATAACAAATTTCGTTTGACTGATTTAAATTATTATGCAAATTATTTTCCTTTTTATTTATAAAAAATACTGGAAAATTGTTAATTGTTAAAAAATTTTGATTAAGATGTAGGAAATATACCCATTTTATGCATAATTTTTATTTCTAAATAACAATATTGTTTACAAAACTCATATTTTTCTTTTGGGAAGAAAAACATTAGATATTCCCATTCCTTAATATTTTTGTAGAAAATTCTCAATTTTCATAAGGAAATAATTTGCATCAATTCTATTTCTTAATTTCAATTATTGCTTTAATAAAATTCAAAGTTTTTTAAAAATAAAGGAAAAAAATGTTTATAAATTATATTTGTCAACTAGAAAATTTAATTGAAAATGAAACAGAAAATTTTTGAATTTTTAGAAAAGAAAGGAAAAAATTTTATTGAAAAAAATGTTCTGTTAAATTTATTTACGAATATCTTTAATTGTAAAATTATTCGAAACAATAATTTCTTTTTAAATTTTTTTAAATATTTAATTATTATTTCCCTATAGGAATTATTATTTTTAAGAATTTTGAACTAAAATTCTTCTTTAAATCGATTACTATTTTTAATAGTTTTCGAAAAAGTAATTTGACGATTTTCAAATCCATTTGTTTACAATATTCAATTTTAGGAAATTCTAATTATTCGTAAATTCTTCAATTAAATATATATATATATATATTAGAAAATAAAAACTTAAAATAATATAAAAAAAATTCAATTAAACTTTTTCAAAAAAATTAATTTCAAAATTCAATTATTTCTAAATATTCACGCTATATTGCTTTTAATATTCAATTATTATCTAAAATTTTAACTGAAATTCATCTTTTAATTACTTTTTATTAGAAAATTCCACTAGAATTCAATTATTTAGATACAAAAATAAATAATTTATTGAATAATTGAATGTTTCTTAAAATTCAATTCCCATAAAGAATCATTATCAACAAATTTTTAAATAATTGAATTCTTTCGACGCATTTTAATAAACTTTTTAAG